GCACAAGGCACTTGAAAATCTAAATGCAATATCTAAACAGAGGAAGAAAACATTTCACACACACAGAAATCGATAACAATTGAATCTTCAAAATTTTTAACCGACTACTGGTAGGGAGAAAACAAAAACCGAGCAAAGCCATAATGACTTCAATATGTTTTCAAGAGACGAAAAAGGGAAAAGGGAAGGGGAGGTTTAAGGTAGTTTGCCTGGTGAAGATAACCCAACGACAAACATATCCTTCCGTTCCTTATTTCATTGCTGTTGTGTTTTTTCTTTCCTTTAAAGAATCAAGAGGCTGTTGATTTTTTTCTCTCATTTCTTTGTTTTGTTTATGGGGCGTTGGCGTACGTTCTACACCACACGTACACACACAAAAGGTATATTAAATAAAGAAAATAAATAAACACTTGACACACATAATACCCATACCCATATAACAACATATATTTTTCTAGAGATTTTTTTTTTTCTCAAATAGGAAACGGAAATTCACATGCCGTTAAGGTTAGCTAGCAAAGAGTAGAGTAAGCTCATAATCTGAAATTGGCATTAATACACGACACGACCTGGGTAATGCCAACTCAGTTTAGCTGCGGTGCAGATTTGTGCACACGTGTAGTGTATACAGAGATTTTTCTGCAATAAGGAGCAAATTGTGTATTACATATTTTACATTTCTTATGTGTACATATATATTTCAATGAATGCCAGAAAATTTTTATTATTAATTTAAAACACAAATATTTCTATTTTAATAATTTTTTTGAAAAAAAAAACACCACCCACCCTCATGCCTCGTTTACACTCCTTTCATTTCCAGAAAGTTGTACAGCCATTACACACTGTACACATTATTACTCCACTCCCATATTGTATGTGTGTATGTGTTGTATTCCATTGACATTTTCCATCCCTTACCGGGATGTTATAGGCTTTGTATGTCTTATTTTTAACTTCTATTTTTTTCATTTTAGTTTTTGTGACTGGGTGTAGTACTCTACCATTAATTGTATTATGGTGTGGCATACTCACAGTATTTGTTTGAACCAAAAAAAATTACCTTTTTTATTATTATTATTACAAGCTGCCGAACCCAATATTTAGATTCATTTTAAAGAAAAAACCTCCCCATCTCTCCTCAGAGCATATTCGAGGCCTCAAAGGACACACACACATATGTTTGTTAAATTTTACGGAGGCCACTCCTTAGTTGAACATCTTTTTTGAAATAAATGTTACCAACTGTGTTATGAGCATTTGGTTGATGTCCTTTTTCTATTTTTGGCGCGCTTATTGTATTTTATAAGGAGGCATTTGTCTGTTTTTCTTTTAAGCAGAGATTTCTATTCTTAACAGGATGATGACATCTTCTTAGTAACTTCACCAATCCTTTTTATTGTACCAGAAAAAGGAATACGCCTTGCCATTGATGATTATGTGCCTACATTTTTTTCTCTTGTCAAATATTTGTCAAACTTTATTACTTGGTCCATGGGGTATAATTAAATAGATGGACCTTGGACAAAGTCAATTATTGTTCTCAAAACTAATTACAACAATTGTCTTTGGGGGATAATTTTTGCAAAGGCATTTGGAAAATGTTTAGAATTTGTTCTCTGCTGCAAATTTGGAAGGATATAAATTCACGAAAAAGTCCAAAACCAAAAAAGAGTAATCCTTATACACTTTTTTGGCAAGAAAAAAAAATTAGAATGATTTTTAACTATTTTGATTTTAAAGAATATTTAAATTCATTACTATATTTTTTATCGTGATAATATACATTATCTCGATTTATTAGCTAAATCGAGCTGCATTTACATCGAAAGGTAATAGAAACTATGAAATAAATGGAATATCAGCTGACTGGACAAGTTATAAAAATGTTAATACTAGTCTAAACAGCTAAGTTTTATTTTCTCAATTCACAAATCAAGACAATTTAGATTGACCTGTTATCATGATTATTTTCTTTATTAAATCATGATGAATATATTATTTTATCATACAATAAACATTATATTAAGAACAGCTGATGATGGGATCAGCTGACTTAAGCTTTGTTTACATACACAATGTTCTAATGAAACAAGTTATTCAAAATGGTCAATATAGAGAAATAAAAGGCGTGTTTTCTAATGAAAAGTTGAAATTACTTTTTTTCATAAAATCAACATCATATTAACAGGTGATCATGGAGTCAGCTGATTTGAAATTTGTATACATCAGAAAAATTTCCGATTAAACAAATCATTTCAATTGTCAATGTATGTGAATTCAAATGTGTGTTCTTATAAAAAAAATCAATCAAGACCATAATATTGACGTATTATCATGATTAGTTTCTTTATTAAATCATGATAAATATATAACTTTTCATACAATAATAAAATCATATTAATGACATCTGATCATTACAACAGCTGACTTAGGCTTTTTTTTGCATTACAAAGTATTCTAATGAAACATATAAATAAACATCATACTAACAGGTGATCATGAAATCAGCTGATTTGGACATTGTTTACAGCAGACAATTTTTCAATAATTGAAGTTTCAATTAATGTGAATTTATGCCTTTTTATTAAAAAAAAAAATATTAAAAACATATTTTTTTCCAAATGATTTTTAAATATTTAAAGTTTACATTGAGTAATTGTGCATGTGATATATTTGGATATTTTCAATAAACCTCGACTGAGTGATTGTCTAGTATAAATCTTCAATATTTTTTATTTTATTTTTTACTTCGAACTGCAAAAAAAATGTTTAATATGACACATTTCTTCTTTTTTGGTTTTCAAATTTATGGCACACTTATGACTCTTTTTTTTTTTGGTTAGTTCTAATTAGAAACAATAAAACAGTTATAAGCCCTACCCAAAAAACCCAAACTGAAACACAACAGTTTGTTTATTTTTTTTTTTTAAATCCACATTAAAATATGCAAAACATTACAATTTGGGGATATTAAATGACAATATTAATGGCTGGACTGCTGAGGCAAAGGAAATAAATTCAACACATTTTCAACCCTCTAAGGTTACACCCTGGAACTGTTGTTACAAAAAAAGGCACATTCCAAAATGAGCAGAGCTAAATTTCATGCCTGCAACCCCATGTTAATGTTAGGCGCGCGTTCTCTCTCCTACTCTTTTGTCACTCTCTCTCTCCCGGCTCAGCTTCACATTTTGCTGCTTTCAAATTAATTATAACAAACCAAAAAAAAAATGTTGGGCTCTGGCGTTCTTCTCATCACCAAGAACAACAACAAGCTGTGATGTGATGACAAAACTCTGTTTTAACTCCCCCTTCCGCCCAACCACCCAGTTGTGGTGAAATACTTACTGGCTCTGCAGTCTGTTGAGTCAAGATTCACCACCAACACCGCCATCATCATCAACAGCGTGGCTGTTTTAAATTAAAAAAGAAAAAGAGCGGGCGTCTTTCTGTTTCTTCTTCTTGCTCTTCATCCACCCATGTGTTGGACATATGTATGTGTGTGTGTGTGAGTTTAACACACCCAAATTTATGTGGTGGTGTTGTTGCTGCTGGCTGCTAGAGTTCTTGAGCCAAAAGTGTGCCTGGCAATTGCCTCTGCCGCTGCTCGCCTCGGCTCTGCCGCTGTTGCCGGCGCACGCAGGCCGGTTGACAACGAGAGCTGTTACAATGCTAAAACATACATAAAATTAATTTCCAACCAGACTTTCACAGCTTAACACCGCCATCGACAGGATTTGGAAGTTTAGTTCCTTATAAATTTCCGAGAGTGTTCGTTTGTTGTCGGCAAAACGCGCGCTTGCTAAGAAAAAATAGAAAACTGAAAAAAACCCAAACACACACACAAATTTGAAACCAAACGGAAAATATTCAATTTGTAGCATAGCACATAGCAAAAAAGCCAGTATACTTTTGGGCGCGGCAAGCAAGCAAATTGGAAAACTAAATTCAACAGCACAAAAAAAAGAAAATATTTTTTTTTACCAAAAAACTACAGAAAGAAAATTATTACTTTAAATCAAGACGCACAAAAATAAATCAAAGCTGCAGACGCACAAATCAAAAACCAAAGTCTTTTTTACAAGCAGACAAAACAAATTCTATAGTTGTGAATTTTCAAGAAAAAAAAACTCAGAAAAAAATAAATTTAAAACAATTTTGAAAACGTCCTTATAAAAGAAAACCAACGAATCGTAATAGAAAACTAAAAACAAAATATTGTGAACAAAAAATAAACGAAACTATTTTTTGCATAAACTTTTTTTACAAAAAAAAATACAACAACAACAAAAATCATTAGCATAGAAAAAGATATAAAAACGGCAAAGAAAATCGTTCATACAACCCACCACCACCCATCAACCAACCAACCAATCTACTACTATTTAATTATAACTACACTTTACTACAACTCTGTGGGCCATTAACATTAACACCGCCATCATCTTCAGCGGCAGCGGGATAAAGACGCGCCCTTTCATCTGTGTTTGAAAGCAATCTCTACAGCATTTTGTATTCTCTCTAACTCTCTCTCTCTCAGTCTGTCAGACTCTCAGTCACTGGATCCTTTTTGCTCCATCCCAATAACGGTGTATTGTGTCAACAAACTATATTGCGAATTTTCGTAGTTGTTGACGTTTGTGTGAAGATTCTACCTGTACCAGAAGAAAGTTAAACGCAAAGAAGAGAGAATTTGATATTAGTATTAGCGGCTTAGTTAGTCTACTACGATACGAAAATTAAACAAAAAGGAGCAAATTTTTTACAAATTCCAAAAAAAAAGAAAATATATACATACATATTAGACATACCATAGATATATATATTTAAACAAAGAACCACAAATCAAAAACACGAGGAAGGAACTTTGTAACTTTTGTGACCAAAATCGCCAAATTTTTTACAAAACTACAAATAGACTTAACGAACAAATCTTAAACGTTTTTAATTAAACCAACGCGCACACACACACAAACGTACATAAATTTCTTAATCTCTCTCTCGTAAAAAACAAACTCACACACACACAAAATGGGTGGTTGCGCATCTAAGGATAAGAAAGACAAAGTGGTTGATGGCGATGCTGTTGCCACCGATAATAACGCTACCGAAAATAACACCGCTGACGGTGACAAAGCAACCACTGTCACTGCGGCTGGTGAAACGGCTACAACTGAGGCAAATGGGGATGCCACCGCAAATCCAGAAGGGTGTGTATTTTATCTTGTAAAAAATATATATATTTTTCAAATTTATCCTTTTTTGCAATTATCTGCAAGTGGCAAATATTTGCCAAAATCATGATTTGTTTTGCAGTGTATTTTAGAGTTCCATTTTATTTTTAATTTTCATTCTAATATGTGGTATATATGGATGGTCTATTTGGGTCAATGGGAGGATTTAATGTATATTTGGGTGGTAGATAACTAGGAAAAGACATATTGAATTGAATATGTTCGGTATTTATTTTTTGGTGTATACATATGTATACTCACAAACTTTATATATACATACGTACCTGTATATGTATCTAGATAAAATAAAAAATCAGGAACATCTTTGAACATTCAATGTGACAAAGGTCATTGATTTTGAAAAAAAACTATTAAAAATCAAATATGGGGGTTTGAAAGGAACTAAAGATAAAAAAATACCTTTAAAATTTAAAAACAACAATCTACTAATTTTTACTATTTTTTCAATATCATAAAGGAAAAATTGTTATCGTATTAAAATTTTGTAAGAATGTAAAAATTCGGGAAAAGTCATATTATTAATTGAAATTTAAAAAAAAAATTCATATAAGTGTCTAGCCACACATCAAATTGGTATAAAAATTAAATTTCTAAAAAATCCTATTTGTCGAATTTAAATTACATCAATCTGACAGATTGGCAAGTTCCTTAATTTTTAAAGAAAATGTTAATTTCCTACTCACACGTCAAACTTTCAAGAACAGTCACATTATTATATGTCAATTTTAAACAATGTATTAATTAACTATAGGTGTCTGGCCACACATCCAATTAGTGTAACAATTAAATCTTTAAAATATCCTATTTGTAGAATTTAAAGATCATTCAACCAAATGCCACATTCCTTCAACACTCAATATTGCATAATTGTATTGTCTTCATTTGTCAGGAAATGTCAATTAAATATTGACAGATTGACTAATAAAAAAATATTTTAGATTAAAAAATGTTAACGTAGCCTAATATATGAACAATTTTGTGAATATCTCTGTTATTAATTGAAAATGTGGGACATTTCATTATCTTGAAAAACATGTTGACAGGTTCCGAGCACTAAACAGCTGATACACTGAACGTGTTTTATTTGACACATATGCAAAGAAATTGTCAGCTTAAACGATTCGGTGTAAATGTTTCCCCAGTTGGTAATCAAAGTCCCGTTTTTCTTTTTTCTGAACAAAATATATTTTAAAAAATTTTGAATTGTATTGACCCATATATAAATATGGTATAAAGTTTAGGATACTATAGGTATCACATAAATAACCTAAATCATGTGTTTTAGAGAAATACGTTTAAGCGCATTTACATTAGAACTTTTTACAGGCTTAACCTACTATATTAGGATTTATTTGACATATATACAATGGAATTGACCATTCAAACCCGCTGGTTTAAACATATGATTGCACATTTTGATACAAAAGCAACATTTGGTTTTCTAAAACTATCATTCTCTATGGCGATTTATTTAACAAATATCCAATGTAATTGACTATTTAAACCCACTTAATCTACTAAATCCAGTACAATTAAATGTTAGATTACATTTGGGAGCCTTCAATTTTAGAACTAATCAGTGATACATTCTAGTATTTGTATGAGTTCCATAATTTATTGAGTGACATGATATATTACAATAAAAATAATAAAAACTGTCACTAAAATGTCAAATTCTTAAGAATGAGATATGAATGCAAATTCTTCCAATTATTTAATTTTTCATATTCAATGATATTTATATATTTTGTAGGACACAACAAATAATGATTTCCCAACTAAATGTTAAACAAGAAAAAACAGCATTGTCAAATAAAACGCAATTTACACAAGGCTAACATATGGCAGGGTTGTAAACATTAAGCCTATCATTAATGAAAAGCGTTCCAAAGTTATCACAATTAAAATCTATAACAAAGGCAGAAAAAAATAAAATTAAATGCCACGCCGTATATATATATATATATATATATCTTATAATTATTATTAATAATTAACTTTAATTAAAAAAATACAATTTACATAATTTTTTAGAGAAAGAAATTACAACTTGTCATGTGACAAGTAAATAATGACAATATAAAATGTACACAATTACAAATTTTTAAGGGTCCGAAAATTTTCTGTATTACCATAATTATATTAGTTGTTACACAAACTAGTATAACAATTAAAATATTTTTATTATTATTGCCTACAGTTTATCTCTTGAATACACCCAAAAAAAACCCTGCCAAAATAAAAGTTATTGACACGCAATTGTCCTATGACTGACGTCACATATGGGAGCAAACGGTTAACGAACCACCACCACCCTCATCCAGCAATTCCCATAAGATTTAAGAATTTAAAATTGGAAAAAACCCACCCATTCCATTTCGTGACTTACTCATCAAAAAACTGACACATTTGTGGACATATGCAGACTCTAGTTGGGGGAGGGAGTGAGATTTGTCACTCGCGTGTTGAAAATGCATAAAAGTGCCAGCAACAAAGCAACAGTCCCTTTTTACCGGTCTCACAAAAAAACAAACAAAAAAATGTTGACGGAAAAGTGTCAAAAAAATTGTTGTTTGCGTCTTGATGGCGACGGAGACGTCGTCAACGCCTTTGTTTACTGTATCTTTTTCGCATTTAGTTTTCCTCTTCATCTTTTTAACTATTCCCCACCCTCAACAACGAACAACTCCCACCCATGCCGGCATTTATGTTTTGCAAGGATATACTCGCACACACATACATACATCCACTTTTATTGTTATCTTTGCATACAATTTTCCTGTACATAGCTATCTATGTATGTTCTATATACCCCTATATATGATGGTATATAGACAACACTCACTCACTCATTGGACAAGCGCATGTCACGTGTGGCCCGCCACAATTATTCTTGTCGTCACAACCACCGAACAGCTTTCGTTCGTTTGTCCTTTCGTTTCGTTCCAAGCCGGCTGGCTAGACAATTACAACAAAAAACACCCTTTTTCCAGAAAACCGGGATTATTTCTATGGTGGAAAATGATGATGATGACGATGAGTAATACAATAGGAATTCACACGGCATTCCTTTTTGGGAAGCATGGAAAATCTTTGCAAAGCAACCCTCATTTCCAGTCAAATAATGCAACATGCTTTTCAAAGCTATGCTTTCCGGCCGGCCGGTAGCCCGACCTAAATATTTTAGCATAGCAAGAAAAAAGTGTTTTAACAGATTTTATATACAGGAACATATATATATATATACTATAAGAGGGACGTTTTCCTCATTTTAAATAAATTTCTTCTGGCAATTCTCTTAAATATTTTATTTATTTTCAATTTAGGAAAAAATAGAACATTTTCAAAATGAAATCCATATTTAGAATCTGTCGTTATACACCAAAAATATTATTACGAAATTCAGAGAAATCTTCAACATTTTCTACAAAATATACAATACAATATTCCAAATGGTCGAAATGTAATTTTTTGTAAGCCAAACATTTCCCGAAAAATTATTTTTTTCCTTCGTTTTTATAAAAAATACTAATTTTTATTTCCTTCTTTTCAATTTCTCTTTATAGCAAAGAAGACACCATGGTTGATGCTGCTGTTCTTACCAAATTGGAAGAAGGCTTCGCCAAGCTCCAAGCCTCCAACTCCAAGTCTTTGTTGAAGAAGTACTTGACCAAGGAAGTCTTCGACAATCTAAAGAACAAGAAGACCCCAACTTTCGGTTCCACCTTGTTGGATTGCATCCAATCCGGTTTGGAAAATCACGATTCCGGTGTCGGTATCTATGCTCCCGATGCTGAAGCCTACACAGTATTCGCTGATTTGTTCGATCCCATCATTGAAGACTACCATGGTGGTTTCAAGAAGACCGACAAGCACCCTGCCAGCGACTTCGGTGATGTCAACAGCTTTGCCAACTTGGACCCCAACAATGAATACGTCATCTCCACCCGTGTCCGTTGCGGTCGCTCCATGCAAGGTTATCCCTTCAACCCCTGCTTGACCGAAGCCCAATACAAGGAAATGGAAGAGAAGGTCTCCACCACCTTGTCTGGTTTGGAAGGTGAATTGAAGGGTAAATTCTACCCATTGACCGGCATGGACAAGGCCGTTCAACAACAATTGATCGATGATCACTTCTTGTTCAAGGAAGGTGATCGCTTCTTGCAAGCCGCCAATGCCTGCCGCTTCTGGCCCTCTGGCCGTGGTATCTACCACAATGACAACAAGACCTTCTTGGTCTGGTGCAACGAAGAAGATCACTTGCGTATCATCTCCATGCAAAAGGGTGGTGATTTGGGTGAAGTTTACAAACGCTTGGTCACCGCTGTCAATGAAATTGAAAAGCGCATTCCCTTCAGCCACGACGACCGTTTGGGCTTCTTGACCTTCTGCCCCACCAACTTGGGCACCACCATCCGTGCCTCCGTGCACATTAAGGTACCCAAATTGGGCGCCAACTTGGCCAAATTGGAAGAAATCGCCGGCAAATACAACTTGCAAGTCCGCGGTACCCGTGGTGAACACACCGAAGCCGAAGGTGGCATCTACGATATCTCCAACAAGCGCCGCATGGGTCTCACCGAATACCAAGCCGTCAAGGAAATGTACGATGGTATTGCCGAACTCATCAAGATCGAAAAGAGCATGTAAGGTGTTACACCGCAACCCCCACAACTGTAGAGCTTACGGCTAAGCCTAAAATCTCTGTAGCCGCTAGATAACAACGTTCTAGGTGGCAATAATCTCAACAACAACAACAAAACCCTAAACAAATCCCAATGCAATGTCGGTTATTACCAACCTCCCAACAACAAAAATAACATCTGAAACAGCTGTTGACGCCAGTCGTTGTGGTCGTGTGTCCGTCTGTGTAAATCAGCATTTTTAATTTAAAATTTCACTTTCATTTCTTAGTTTTTTTTTTTTAATTTATATTTGCGTCAATATTTTGTGTATCATTTGTTGTGTCATCTGACGCGCTACGCGTTTTCAAAAAAACCAAAAAAAAAACATTATTATAAATAACGGCACCACACAACGACCTGGCCACGCCCAAAAGCCCACTCTACCATCAAGGACTTTCAAAGGACATTGCTCTTCTCTGTTAGAAGCCACCACAAACAAATTGTTTAAGTTACAAGCAGTTTTTTCTATTTAAATTCTATTTATTGAAATAAAACAAAAATTTAACTAAAAACAACAACATCAACTTTAAGTTAAATAGGAAAAGAGATAAGGAGAAGATGAGATTTGTATTGATTTGAAAACAGCAACTATATAACAACAGCAACAACAACAACTTTAAGTAAAATCCTAAAAAACAACATCTAATGAACACAAAATATTTTTAATTTTAAGTCTTAAGTTTATAAAAAGAATTAATTATTAAAAATAATAAAAAACACAAAAAATATTGTTTTATTTCAAATAACGAGCTTTCCGAGTAGGTGGAAATCAAAGAGAGGGAGAGAGAGAGAAAGAAGCAATAAGGGCAAGGTAATCTACCTTGAATAAGGGTTTCATATGTTTGTACTCCCATTTCCGTTATATTGATGTTTTATTATATCTGGCAATGCCCTAACAGACATGACAGGCAGCACCCAAATTAACAGTAGTTTCCACTGAGAACATTTTCAAAGTGTGGCATCTCTTCGTTCGCTGTGAAAGGTTATCATCATCTGTTGCACGAATTACGATTGTGTCTGCCTGAAAAACTATTTCAGTCGCTATTCTATATCAATTATATACAGTCGTTTGTTTACTTCTATCAGTCAATCGGTCGGTACGAAAATATATTCTAAAAACATGGTTAAAGCTTGGTTTATGGACAATGAAACTACCGATCAACGTTTGGAACATCATCGCAATCCCCCCGAGTACATTGAGATTGATGAACTTTTCAAGAAGACCGGCGTGGAATATTTTCTGGTATGTTCGTTTTATTTGTGTGTGGTGCAAAATTGTTATTATTTACGATAGTTTTAATTAAATGCGGGTATTAAGGTGAATGGGGGGGTTGCGGTAAAGGGGAGTATTGAAACGGAGTCGATTTCGATAACTATAATATCGATCACACGAACGTGTCATCGTAAACATATGGTGCAGGGTTGGGAATGTCAGAATAAAAATGTGTATAAGATGTCATGGTACAATTATACAAGGTAACTGCAATACTCAGCAGATTTGATCGTATCCTAATACTCGTGTCAAGTTCGAAATGACATAGTTGATTTATGTAGAACGATCCAGTTCGAACATTTTGTACTCATTATATTTGAAATGAGAATACGGTAACACAGCTTGAGCTTTTTAATATATAGGCAAACAGGAAAAAACAAAACCATTTTGTAGAACGTTTGACATATATTTTTCCTATATTCCCAATTATAAATTTGCAAGATTTCCATTCATGTTTTTCAATTTCAAGGTAGATATATAAGGTAGCCGCATCGGCGAATTGGGAACATGGTATGCCAAAATTGTTATCAAGGCGAATAAAAATGAATTCGCCTTATATTTTTCAACCAATCAGAACAAAGCATTTGAGAAGTTTTATAAAATTTTTATTTACTTTTTTAAATTTGTGTGTTTTTTGCAAATCGTAAATTTATGAATTAAATATACCATAAAAAATAAAAATGATTCGTTAATGTTAAGGAACTGATGACAACGAATACATTTTTGGAGAAACGAAGACGTGGACCCATTTTGAATATGTTTTCTGCGGTAGTAACACCTCAGCATACCAAACTCAACATATGTGGAAATCTAAGGTTCAAGTTACAACCAAATTATTGAGATTGGGATGTATCATTATATAGATGCGAACGTAGAAAGTTTTGCAAGGAAATTTGCATTCAATAAACCAAAATGTGAAATTGAGGAAACTGAATTCTAACAATGTTTAACAATAAATAATATAATAATTCTTCAGAAATTGTCTTCTTTAATTTTATTTTTTCTGGCGAATTCAAGAAAAACAAATTGTTGTGACATATAATATTACCACTAGCTGGCTTGATACGGCTACCTTATTAATATACCTTGTTCAATTTTATTTTGAAAATTCAAAAATATTGTATTTTGAATATAAATTAAATATATTGACATTTTGTATGTTACATACAATAACAATTTTCTATGTTGTTGAATTGTATTTGTTGTAGTTTTGCAGTCACCTTGTATAATTTTTCATGATAAGAAGTATATGTGCTGCGAGGCCGCATAACCCAAAAAACTTGTGTTTTAATCATTAATCACACCTTACAAGGAACAGAGGGACTTTTATAGCTTCTCAATCATAGTGTGCAAAAGAGATATTTATCTGAACGACATGAATTCTGATATAGCGAACAATTCTGCAGAAAGTAGTATACGCCATGGCCCAATAAGTTTTGGGGAATTCACAATAGGTTCGTTCGTTTACTTTCCCAGTAATATTTACTCAGTAAGAATTTGCAGAGTAATTTTTCCTTCTCAAGAGAGAAAACTGCAAAAAGTAAACGAACAACATCCAGTAAAAAGATTGTTTCGACACAGCTGATTAAAACAACAAACAAATTGGCGCAAACTAAAAAACACCATTTTTATTAGAAAAATGGATAACAAGCGGAAAATTGATGTTGTTTGTTCCCCACAAACATTTACAAGGGTTGTGACCGGTAAGTTTTAACTATTTATTTGGAAATATATTGATGTTGATTGATGTTTACAGACATGTTCCAGACATGTTAGGAATGCACACTTTTTTGTTCGGATTTGGAACCTAAAAAATCGTTCGCCAATTACTCTTGTATTACCTTATTTTTAAATACTTGCGTTTTCTTCATCCATTTTGGTAATTAATGATACAAAATCAAAATAAAATTCACAAAACAATTCTCTTGAGAAAATTTTTTTGTTTGTTTACAAAACATAACAAAACAGCTGATTAAATATCAGCTGATGGTACAAGAAAATTCTTACTGAGTAAATGTTCCTTGTAAGAATTTGAAAATACTCAGTAACACAACTGTCAAATATGCTCTCTCAATTCACTCTCTTTTACTGGAGTTTTGGGTAAACGAACAACATTTTGTAATAATTTGTACAAATTCGTACAAATTATTGAGTAAACGAAGTCCAGTAAAAGAGAGTGTATTGAGAGAGCAGATTTGACAGTTATTTTCTTGCAAAGAAAATTTACTCAGTATGAATTTTCTTGTACCATCAGCTGTTTCAGCTGTTTTCATATATTTTGTAAACAAACAATAACATTTTTCGTAAGCAAATTGATTGTTTTGCGAATTTTATATTGATTTTGTATCATTAAACATTAAAATGGATAAAGAAAACGCAAATATTTGTAAACAACATCAATTTTCCGCTTGTTATTCATTTTTCTAATAAAATGCTGCTTTTTGTTTATTTATTGTTTTAATCATTTTATTGTTTTAACCAGATGGTTTCACTCGAGCTGTCAAAATGCTAATCATTTTGAATTAATCGTATGAAAATGTTTCTTTTTTTTTTTGTAAAATAAATTGTCAGAATATGTTAGGTTTTGACTTCAAATAATACTTTCAATGAAAGTAAAGTTGTCCCAAAACATACCTGAAAAAATAAGAGATGCTTTTTAAAATGTGCCATTTTGCCACGATAATATAAAAGAATGTTTATTTTGGAGATTTGGTTAATGCTTTTATATATTTTTCGAAAAAATTCTATGACCAACCCTAATATTCAATTTCAGGCATTGACAATTTATTTTCTATAACAATAATATATGGTCTGTTCCCGTACTGCAAGAATCTACGAGTTTTTACTATTTTTTCGATATCATAAAGGAAAAAGTGTTATCGTAGTAAAGAAAACAGTAGATTCTTGCAGTACGGGAACAGACCATATATTATTGTTATAGAAAATAAATTGTCAATGCCTGAAATTGAATATTAGGGTTGATCATAGAATTTTTTTGTAATATAATTAGTTTTTGTAATTAATTTTTTTCATTAATTTTATGTGGAATGTCAGTGCACTCCTTCTGGTGTTTCCAAATATAAAATGATCTAAATTTTACTGAAAATTAATTAAAACGACATGTACACTAGAAGTTTTTTGCATGGTTAACCTTCTTTATGAGGATTTATTTGACAAATATGTAAAGGAGTTGACAATTAAACCCACTGGGTTAACTAAATCCTGTGTAATGCTAATGTACTATAACAAAACTTTCTACAAACTAATATTTTAGCCATACCAGTATAATGTTGGAGAAAGGGACTTATTGGTCGGTCCACTTCTTCTAGTAATGGATCAACATTTCTGATTTGACCCAAACTCTGCACACCGTTGTATTTTTACTAACTCTAAATTCGAATATGGACCCATTGGTCCACTCCATCTAATAACTCCCACACGAAGGGTCAACATTTAGAATATTTGTCAATTTTACTTTTGAAGCCCCAGCGCCAAAAAAGCTTTATAGGGGCAAAACTGGCAACCATCAAAATTACATTTTATATAAAATTATGTTTATGAAATTTAGAAAAAAAAGGTAATTACGAAAGAAGTGTGTCTATTTTTGTCAATAAATATTTTTTCAGTTTAGTTTTAAAAGAGGAAATAGAATTTGAGTTTCTTATTTCAAGCGGCAATTTGTTGTATTCACTTGGCCCAGCAAAACCAATTCGCTTTTTAGTGGTCTCAAAACGACACCTGACAACATGAAGTTGGTCTGATTGACGTGTATTTCTTGCAGTTCTCTCAAAATTACCGGCGAACTCGATTGATCTTACACCTGTGTTCCTGGTAGACTTGAAAACATACGTCAATATTTGCTGCATATATAATCCTCTTATCGGCAGAATAGTTTTGAGTTTGCGTCGAAAAAGTTGCAGGGAAGAATAACGCCGTGGTAGATTTAAAACAATTTTTAATGCAGTGTTCTGTGCTCGTTGCAGTTCTTTTATCGATCTATTGTTTTTATAGGCATATATACCTGGTAGATACGTAAGATGGGAGTGAATCAATGCTTGATATATCAATAGCTTGCTATCTGTACTCAACAAACGATTAAACTTCCGTAGAATACCTGTTGCAGAAGAAACTTTAGCTTTCATATTTTCAATGTGAGAATTCAACATCAAATTATTGCTCATAGTTATACCCAGATATCTAATCGAGCTTGATTCATTAACAGGGACTCCATTTATGTACACGGACATAACATCTCCACCAATGTGAGGTCTAAAACGAATAAATTTAGTTTTTGACGAATTTAGCACCAACTTATTTAGCCTGGCATACTCGGCCAATAAGCATGAGTCGTATGCAACTTGCACCTGCAGCACTTTCTCATCCATGTACTTGTAAAATAGGCTCACATCATCAGCATACATCACAAGTTTACCAAAAAATTGCATATTCTTTAAATCATTCCTTGCGGAACACCATTTCTCACGCTTACCCAGCTACTTTCTGCGTTGCCGACTTTAACAAACTGAAAACGATTGTCTAAAAAGTTTTTGAAAAACAAAGTATCCGGTGCAAATCCAATACGTTCCAATTTATTAATTAATATCGTATGATCTACAAGATCAAACGCCTTGGTGAAATCATAAAATACTCCTGCAACTCCTTTGAATCCGGAATCTAGTTCCTTACAAATATGCTCAACAATATGAAATACAGCTTCATCAGTCCCACAGGCTTTTCTAAAACCAAACTGATTGGCAAATAAAATGTTGTTTTCCTCAATATATGTTGTTATCTGCTCAGAAATGATTCTTTCGAAAACTTTGTCAAGCACTGATAAAACAGCAACAGGTCTAAAATTCGTGATACTATTCGAACTAGTTTTCTTGGGTATTGGTATCACTTTATGAACCTTCAATATGTCAGGATATTTTCCGCTCGTAATCATACTATTGAAGATTCTGTGCAATACATCAGTTACCTCAGATTTCCTTACCAACAACATCCATGACCGTATATTGTCAAATCCGCAGCTTTTCCTTTGATTTAACGCCTCAATTTCATTCAGTATACGAGTTCTATCAACTGACTGTAAAGAAAACTGACCGGTATCCATTGCAAGTGTCCTGAAAACATTAATATTGTCGTCATTATGGGGTTGTATGCCTTCCCTTAATTCTTCAACCGAATGATCAAAATACATGTTCAGTTTATTGGCTTTTTCAATATCTTCTGTTACAGTATTTCCATTCCCATCGACAATGTCTCCAAGTGGTTTTTTGCTTCTACCTAATTCATTGTTTAGAAATTGCCAGATTTTCCTTACGTCACCGTTGCATGAGCTTAAATTGTTTCTTTGGAACTCGTTCCTTAGGCTTCTGCTGCAAAATTTGATAACATTGCTTATCCGCTTCAACTGATTTCTAATACTTGGATCATCTTTCCTTCTGCGTCTCAAATAAAGCAACTTTGTTTTATGTTCAATCAAAGAGACCAGTTTATCTGTCAACCAAGGAGCAAAACTTTGTAGTCTATTAACAAATTTCGTTGTAACTTCTTTACTTTTACAAACGCCAGTTTGTATTATGTCAACAAACTTTTTACAAAGTTCAGACGAATCATCAATTGCCGTTAACATGCTCCAGTTTGTGTCCAAATATTCTGTAAACTTAGCATGGTTCACTTTTTTAATAATTTCGGGCAAATCCTCTTGGTATACGTTACTTCTTATAAAACAACTGAGGATGTTATGATCCGACAATTCGGTTTCTATACTGTGAACCACAATATTGCTGCTATAGTTGCTAAATATCCAATCTATGCTCTTCTTAGAAATAGGACGCGTAATATGATTATGACAAGAATACATGTTATAAGCACTCAAAAGATAAATCAGGGATTTTTGATGTTTTAGTGTAGTGAAGAAATCAACATTCATATCACCGCAAATAATTATAAAACCTGAATTCAAACGTTGCAACACAGTATCCATTTTCTTAATAAAATCACCCACACTGCACTTTGGGGATCGATAACACGATGCTAATATTAATTTCGAGTTGTATAAAATAGTTCCAGGAAATTCAACGGCTATAACAATAACTATATATAACTATAACTCACATCGTAATACGTGGCCTAATTGATTCACCTTTTCTTACGGGAGAAAAAAAATTTATGTTCCTTCTCGAAGAACACGTAATTTTAATCCGTTGAAATTGTCGATTGCGAGAACTAATTATGAACTAAACAACCCAATGGAGTCTTTATGTGTAATATATACAAGCATAAGCAATATTATGTCTAAGTAGTCCAGCTATAAAGAATTCTATAGTGGGCATGGAAACAGTAGACCCTGGCATTAAAGCAGCAGTTGTCAAATTTTATATTATAGTTTCTGTTCACTTTTGTTTGTTTAATTAAGCTAGTTTATGGTATTGTAATGCATCGATCTATTTCTAATTTATATTTGTTTTATAACTATTAATCGCCGGCTGATGATATATCTGTAGCCGGTATTATCAAACCACTACTAACCCGCCTTAGTTCGGTCTTTGGTGTGTACGTGCTCCCTGCGAATAGGGAAGTAGCCCCCTCGGTCGGCACGGGAGGGCGTGAGAGGCGTGGGAACAAACATAAAAATATTTCTTTTAAATTTAAATCAAATTCGAAGATGGGATTCATCGGTCCACTTTTTCTGGTACCTCCCCCACAACACGCTCAGTATTTTGCTGAAAATTTATTTTATAATTTCATTCGAATGGACCATCCGATTTGAACTGAACATTGCACAACCTAATATTACGACCATGACTGCATATTGTTGAAGGTTTGGACTTATCGGTTCACTATTTCTAGTACATCGCCCACAAAGGGTAAACATTTTGGAAACGTGTACATGTTATATGAAGCGAACAGAGTATAAAATGTCATCGAAACTTTGCACATCGTAATATATTTACCATACCTACAAAAATGGGATCCGTCAATCCACAGCTTGTATATCCCCCACAAAATTCTCAAGATTTTGCTCGAAATTAATTATATAATATCACTCAAACGGACTATCTAATTTAATCTGAACTTTGCACAACCTATTGTCTTCCACTTGATCTTTCCATCTAATTCGCGGCCTTCCATTCTCTCAACATGATCTAGCCAAAGAGCTCAACACGTCAAACAATGCCGATGACCGAGAATAGAGGGTATAGCTCATGTTTCATTCGACGGCGATATTCACCGTCGACAAAGATCGGCCCATAAATCTTTCGGAGAATTTTTCTCTCAAAGACTCCAAGAGCAGTCTATTTTGAAATCTCATTAGGCAGCAAAACTACCTAAAAACTTTTTACCAAAAAGTATCATTGCATAGCCCGCCATTTATGAAGGTCCCTAGTGATTGCTGGTATTTTAAATATCCACCACCTGAAGAGTATAAGAAGTTCGGTCGTCGGTTTTATTTGCTTATTAATTTCATAATATTATTTTCAGATTGATGCTGATAACTATCAAACTGATGAGGTGCTCCAGGACTTACGCAAGAAACGCAATTATTCGTATGAAGATGAGGTATAAATTCAATAATAATTTATATATAAAAAAAGATATTAAGAAAATATATATTTTCAGATTACATGTTCGGAAAAATGTTTACCCGATTATGCCAATAAATTGAAGTCTTTCTTTACGGAGCATTTACATACCGATGAAGAAATTCGTTTAGTTTTAGATGGTTCTGGATATTTTGATGTTAGAGAGTAAGTATTGTAATTTCGGAACATAAGAACTCAATAGAACATTTGGTTCAACAAATATGCAAACATACATATATAATTCGTAACTTTTTTTAAAATAAACTATCCAATGAATCAAGTTTTGTAATACACAAATTTAAATCATTCATTCATTCAAATTTTAATTGCTAAAATTTGTTTTGCATTTTCAGTGACAAGGAAAATTGGATTCGCATTGCCGTTACCAAAGGTGATTTAATTATTATTCCAGCTGGAATCTATCACCGTTTCACTTTGGACACCAATGTATGTAGAATTAAAATTTAATCAATTTAATATTTATTTAATTATTCCTTATTTTTTAGAATTATGTTAAAGCTAAGCGTTACTTTGTCGGTGAACCCGTTTGGCTGCCTTATAATCGTCCAGCTGATGAAATGGATTGTCGCAAAGAATATTTGAAACATCAATCCGAAGCATTTGCCCATTTAAATAAAGTTTAAATTTTGCATTGTAATTGTTATTTTTTCGTAAAATTGTTATTATGAATAAATTAAAAAAATTGGCGATGATTTTTATAAAAGCGCAATAAATTATTTTGGCTGGGTCGAACACTGTAGATCAATCATAAATGATGACCGTTAAATGTATGATTAGGAAGTAGAAGAAAATATGGCGGTTCGCTGAAGGAGTTCTATATAGATTGATTTTTTGTTTGTTTTTTGATTAGGAAATGTTTTTTCTTTGCAAACATTTCCCAATTACAAGAAAATTCCCTCACTAAAAATGAGGTCTATACAGAGACATAATTCGATATTAAACCTCATTTATAATTTCTTTCCAAAATCCAGTAAGGAATACCATGTAATGTTTGCTTGATCCATAGCAAAGTAACTACTTCCAGATGAACGCGGAAAAAATATTTTCATTTCAATTAAATTTGAATATATTTCAATTTAATTTAAAATTTTTTCAGGTGATATTGCTTCCCAGTCTTATATTCCGACTTCAACATAATTTTCTATGGATTCAAGATTTTCTAGGTTGATTTTTTTTCCTGAGTTAATGACCTCCAAAAAATCCTGAGCTTGGACAAACTTCAATTTGTTGAAAAATATTACATTAATAAATCAATAATTTCTAAACAAATTAACAAGTTTTTGAAGCCACGCGAAACATCGCAACATGAAGATTTATTTATTAAAAGGACAATCTAAAATGATATAGACAATCTATAGACAAATTCGATATGGATCGTTTCATGTAGCGTGACATACTACAAGATGTAATTCTGCCTTATGCAGTAGTCCGTTACCATATGCCGGGCAGACATTGTCGACCTCTCCATCAATTCGTGCCCAATATGAATTGAGGCGGCTACACCATCCAGATCTCAGTTGTGCCAAAACCACTCTAGTTTGTCGAGGCAGCTGCTGCTCTTCTGCAGCTATCAAAGGCGGACAGTTGAACAGATGTAGCGTGTCATGTGGTCCGTTACCACATGCCGGGCAGACATTGTCGACCTCTCCATCAATTCGTGCCCAATATGAATTGAGGCGGCTACACCATCCAGATCTCAGTTGTGCCAAAACCACTCTAGTTTGTCGAGGCAGCTGCTGCTCTTCTGCAGCTATCAAAGGTGGATGGTCTCCGAGGATGGTATTCACACGATATTCTTAAACTGCTTCCTCAACTGCGTCCGTGTGGATACTATTCAATCCTGCTTGATAGGTCTGTTGATCTAGAGGCTCCTTTTTGTACCTCTGGACCTCTCTCTCCAGATCATGGAGATCCTTCCTGACATGCCTGGGTGGTGGATGCATATCCTTTAGGTAGCGGTTTGGATGGCTGCTCCTATAACACCCAAGCAGGTATTGCATCGACAACATCTTGTTGTGTTGACGCACAGGAAGGGTCTTCGTCTCCTCATGTAAGTGGTCTATTGGTGTCATGAGGAGACACCGTGTTGCAGTCCTCAGGGCGGCATTCTGGCAGGATTGAAGACTTTTCCACTGCGTTGCACTGACGTAAGAAGGTTTCCTTGTCAGCTCCCCAAGTGCTGCCGGCTAGCGACTTGAGATCCTTGTTTCTAGTCCTGACTATATAGCAAATAGCTGTGGCATGCGCGGACGACTTATATAGACTATCGAATGTGACCCCTAGAACCTTGGGGTAATTAGTGGTCGGAATTGTGGACCCCTCGACCTGCACATCAAAAGATAGCCGCATCTCCGCTGTCTATGTGGTAAACAGTGTGGCCGTTGACTTAGTGCCGGATATTTTCATATTCCTCGACCGGAAAAAGTCAGCTACATCCACGCCTCTCGCAAATGTCATCAATTTTAGGTCCTGACGCCATAATCGTGCAATCATCCGCATATGTTACGAACTTTATGCCGTCCAGTGGGCGTGGAATTCCTGAGAGGTAGAGGTTAAACAGTTCCGGAGATATCACCCCTCCTTGGGGAACTCCCTGTTTAACTCTACGGCCTTCGATTTCCTGTCTCTGAATTCCACGTACGACTGGCGTCCACACATATAGTTCACGATCCCACGTTTCAAACTTGGCTGGAGGGTTGTTCTCTCGACGTCCTTGGCGTGACTGACGGTATCAAATGCCTTTGATAGGTCTAGCGCCACCATGACTGTCCTGTTACACGGCCTGTTCTGGTTGAGTCCTTCTGCTATGTGTGCGGCGTGAAAAGCTGTTATTGTGCTGTGCTGCTTCCGGAATCCATGCTGATGATCAGCAACTGAGTAGCATTCACGAATGCTAGGGAGTAGTAAAGCCTCAAGTGTCTTGTCTACTGGCGACAAAAGTGAGATCGGCCTGTATGACTCACCTTTGCTGGCATCCTTGCCCGGCTTCAGTAGCGGGACCACCCTGCCCATTTTCCAGGCATCGGGAACTACTAGGGTGGATAAGGACAAGTTGAGGACTTTAGTATAATAATCTACTCCTGGCTCATCAAGCTGCTTCAACATCACCATGGAGATTCTATCTGGACCAAGCGCTTTGAATGATTTCGCATTCCTGATGACCTTGCAACATCCTCCAATGTAAATTGTGGTGGTTCCTCCTCCACCTGAAGAGAGCGTATGCGGCGCAATACTTTTCTCTTCTCCCGGTCACTCTCGGGGTGCTCTATAAATTGCCGGTTGAAATAACACGCGCACCTCTTCGGATCTGTCACCTCGACGCCGTTAAATGAGACAGAAGACCGATCCTCCTTCTTTCCAGGGTTCGAGAGCGACTTAAGCGTTGCCCACAATTTAGTCACTCCGGTATTGATGTTGCAACACTTCAGATGTTCTAGCCACTTTTTCCGCTTATGCTCGCCGACTGACCTGATCACCTCCAACGTCAGTTCTCTGGCTCTGGGGTTAGTAGGTTTAGAACGACGAAGCTCATCACGCTCATTCGCTAGTCCCGCCCCTCGATTGGTGAAATTTCTGAACTCTTGCCAATTGGCATTCTCATGATTAAGGAAAGTACGGCGTTCAGAAGTTATGAAATCGGGTGGTCTGTTGATGGATATGATAATAGGGAGGTGGTCTGATCCCAATGATATGACGGGTTGCCAAACCACGTCATTCGTCAGACCCGGAGACACGATGGATATGTCCGGTGAACTTTGACAGTCTCCCCTTATCCTAGTGGGTATGTCCTTATTCACCGTGAAAAACCTTGAGCTATCAATTTGCTCGGCCAGCGCCATGCCCCTCTGGTCATTACTTAGGACGGAATGCCATAACTCATGATGTGCATTGAAATCCCCTAGCACCAGACGGTTATTGCCTTCCTAAAGATGACTAATGTCAGGCAAATAACGAGGGTCACAGCTATTTAACGGGAGAATGTAAACGTTAAGCACCTCGGCGGTACCACACTTGACCGCTTCCCCCATACATTCCATGTATGGGTCACTAGAGTCTAGCGCAAGCGAGATAGGTCTGTACTGGACAGAATGGTGCAATAGGAATGCTAATCCTCCACCTCTTGTACGATCCTTTCTAATCACGTTGTATCCATCAGAACTCTGAAGACTGCAGGTGTTGTTCAGCTTCGTTTCCTGGATCGAGAAAGGATACGTTATCACGAGTTGCGACAGCAATGTGCGGTGTTAGCGGCGCAGGTTGCTGCTGAGGAGATTGCGTGGGAGTCACGTAATTCGAAAACGACGACGATGATGACGTGGACCACGGTGATGACGACGACTCGCGGGGGACTGCATTGGCGCAGCATGAAGCAACATAGTTCCTTTCGCTATACTCCTGTATCCGGCTAAGGCCGGAACAACTCCTGAAATGTACCCATTCTCTGCAACCGTTGCATCTCACCGAGGTAGATCTGTGGTGAATGCTGTTGTGACAAACTGAGCAGAACCATGGTCTGGGGTTTGTCTTAATCCCGGCACGGACCAAAAGAATCCGGAGGAAACATTCCGGGTAATGAAGCTCCCAAGTTGAAAAAAATACACATTGTATTTGCTGGGTTGACAGCCCTTGGTCGGATGTTGATTCATCCGAGTCAATCCGGTGCATAGAACCGGCCGTTGTGGGATTACTGGTAATTGTTGTTGCTGTTTTATCGGAGTACTGTATTTCTTGCCATTTTTATATATTTTTGGCAGTAAGTCAAAATTGAAAACCAGACACACGTTATTGTAATAAAATCTATTAAAAATGATGAGTTTTGCTTTAGTTTTGTCCTAGTAAAAATTGAGAGAATTCTCTTATCCATAAATTATTAATTTTTCATAATGAATTTTGCATTAATTCTTTTGTTTTTAAGTGAATAAAGTACCCAATTTAAAACTGAGAAAACCCAACACGATATCTTTGTTTTTGAAAAAGTTATGCGTCATTTACAATACCTTGGAATGTTAGTTGCTTTAGTTTTGGCCACCAGTGTATGTCAAATAAACAAAACAACCTGTTAAATATCTTATGTGTAAATATGACATTATAGGACATTACAAGCTTCGTCAATTATTACGTGTTTCTTTGAATATAATTTTTTCCTCTGAAGCGCAGGGAAGACAGACCTAATGTTTTCATTCAAATATTTTCGTATATCACAAAAAGTTCTAAATACTGTACGATGGTACTAAAATAGCAACACTGTAACAGCTGTTAATTGTTTTTATTCTTATTTATTTTTGTTGTTAACTTTAACATTTGTTTACATTTAAATTGACTGGTCTTTTGTTTATTTATGAGTGATAGACGGTTATAAACCAATCACTTTTCACCTCTAGAACAACATAAGGTAAATATAAACAATCACCGCTTTCAATAAATGTTGTAGTAAACATAAACATAACAAACAAATTGCAGTACATTTGCCGGCACAACAAATGACCTTTGTCAATGACACATCAGTCAGCTGGGGGGTGTCGTTTTAATGGAGATAGCACATCAGCAGCAGCGGCGACCAGCATTTCAATAGCGAGCAACACCAACACAAGAGGACAGTGTAAGTTTGTCAATTGAGGTGTATAGTTGAAGGCATAGCTGACGATAACGTTGAGAAGATTTTTGAATTTTTCGGGTAAGAGATTTGATACAAAGTATTATTATCTGATTTGTTTTAGTAATAAATTATATTTTTTAGTTACTAGAAGTAATAACAAATTCCTGTGGAATATTCTATATCGAAAAATGTCCCTAGCAACGGAAACTGTAGCCACAACTGTGTACGAGGGTCAAAAGCCTGGCACCAGTGGATTACGCAAAAAGGTACAAAAGGAATAAAAATATATATGTGTAAAATATACTGTGTAATGTTTTTCTTATTAATTTGATGCCATTGTTTATTTGTAGGTTAAAGTATTTACCCAAGTTAATTATACGGAGAATTTTGTTCAATGTATTTTGGATGCTAATGGAGATGCCCTTAAAGGTTCCACTTTAGTGGTGGGTGGTGATGGACGGTTTTATTGTAAAGAGGCTGCAGAATTGATTATACGCATGTGTGCTGCCAATGGGGTAAGTGAGGCACACCAGTAGAGAAGAACATTCTATATTAATATTTTTTTTATTAAATTGATCTTAGGTTGGCAAATTATTGGTAGGTCAAAATGGTATACTGTCAACTCCTGCTGTTTCAAGTTTAATACGTCATCACAAAGCATTGGGTAAGTGATATATCAAATTCTATTGTTTACTTTATTTTAATCTCGTTATTTTTTTTGTTTTGTTTTCTTACAAGTACTTTTAAGAGACAATAGAATTTGTTATCATTGTGGTTGCTTTTATTTTTTGCATTATCAATTCCTATCAGGTCTCTCTGAAACCTATTGCATTATTACTTGCATGCCCTTCTCATGATCTCTATTTACATTAGCTTGTTAGTTAAGTGGAAGATAAGTTTTTTATTTGCAAAAAATGCATATGTACGTATCGTGTGTACATTAAATAGTGCCTTATCGCTTATCTTACACCTACTGCTGTGATGGACAATTATTGGCAATAGTCAAGGTCAGCAACATTTAAGTTACAATTTCGATATTTTTTTGCCTTTCGTTGTGGCAATAACTCCATAGTTAATGGGTTATATTTTATAACCACTATTAAAAATATAATTGGAAAGGTATTTAGCTTAAGGAGACGCAATGTATGCTACTATAAGATATAGTCGAATTTTTTAATCGGGTATTAACATTTTTCTGTTTAAATCTTCAAATAATTATATGTCAAATTATAAGCCTGAAAAATAATTTAAGGTTGTATATTTGCCCATTGTAAAACTTCTTAAATGATTATAGACTTAGAAAAAATACCTATTTTATACCCCCTTTTTATACCTCTCACTTCTAAGAAATCACCCGAGTTGCTTACAAAAGACTAGTGTTCTTTCCTAAAAAAATACACAACTATGTTTTTTTTAAAAAAAGGCACGGAATTATTTGTGTACTATCAAAACCCTTTGTATATCTATTTGACTATCGTTAATACACATTATTCTATAGCACCTGCTATATCAATGAAAACTATTATATGTTGTTTTAATTTCTAGAATGATATGGCGTTTTTTGTCAGTTTAGTAATTTGCAAATCATGTTGCCTAGCACATATTGTTTGTTTGGGTATTGGGCACCTTACGAATAACAACGATAATACTATTAAATAAATGATAATCATTTTTTGCTTCTGTTAAACATATCTACTCAGTGTTTCTAATCTAATTAAATGAATGTCGGTACTCCTTGAAAACAGACAAATTTTCAACCGAATTGACTGTAATTCGATAATCTGTATTAAAACATAGATTCAGTGAACTCTCGATAATATGAACACACAAACTGACATTAAAGTATTGCAAAAATCGGGGAATTAGCTGTAAATAAGCTGGTCGAATCGAAAATATGAACAACCTCGACATTAATTAGATCACATTATCAAGAGTTCACTGTATATTGTTTCACGTTGTAGTATAGCTTAATCTATGATATTTTGATGTACATTTCTTATGGAAATTGGTTAAAATTTTGCAATTTTTTTCAACTGTGCAAATAAATTTCTTGACAAAAATTGTCGCTTTAGATCCATTTAAAAATATAGCCGCCATGGAATTTCTGGTCTTCTTGAGAAAGATAAACTTTTAACCTTTGGTACTTCTAGGTATTCTACAGAAGAGCTAATCAACCTGCACACCATTTACAATTTAGTATTTTTGTTCTCTTATAGTACGTATTTCACAAAATAGCCTCCATATCCATACCAAACTACACACCAGTTCTGAGAAACTTAGCTCTTTATTTAATTTGGTACCATTTACCTTTTGTACTTATTTCCAAAACTAATTCTAAATTTCCGATAAATTCACTCAAAAGCAAACTTTACCAAATTTAGTACCAATCCAACAGAAATCAACAATCCAACAGAAATCATATTTCCCAATTTCAGGATTACAGTCCGATCGGTTCACCCAAATCAAAATTGTAACATTTAGTACACACATAACATTTAGTATACACATAAGTACGAATTTCCAAAAGGTATCACATACTCCAATCCTATTCTCCAACTTAGTACCATTTAAATTGTAACAAATTTAGTACCATTTAGTACACATAAGTACGAATTTCCAAAACTACCTACAATTGCGCTTCGCCCAAATTGTAATAAATACCATTTAGTACTTTTCGTACACATTTATACAAATTTCCAAAAGTGTCTTAATATCCCAATCCTATACACCCGATATTAATTTAAAATTTCCAGATTCTAGCTCCATTCGTTCTTTCAAATTCATATTGTACCAAATATAGTACTGTTAAGTACTTTTCATATACATTTATACACACTGCCAAAACCATCTTCTTATATCGAGCCTACTTTTCAACCTTTAGCTCTATCCTTTCATGTGCTGCGAAATTGTACAAAATTAGTTCATTTTAGTACCATTCGGATACTTACAGTTTGAATTTTTCAAAAACCCCTTCGTACATCTATCCATCAGTGAGTTCTAGCTCTACCGGCTCGCCAAATACAAATGGTGCCAAAAGTAGAAATTTTTAGTACTTTTTATGACGTTTTTCAAAAACCTTCAGTCTAAGAGTGACCTTCACCAAATTTCAGTCAATCACGTTTCCCACACATATTTTCAATTAACTCCAATTTTAAAATTAACTATTTTTTCCCCCATTCCAGGTGGCATTGTCCTAACTGCTTCCCACAATCCTGGCGGTCCCGAAAATGATTTCGGCATTAAATTCAATTGTGAAAATGGTGGCCCAGCTCCTGATGCTTTTACTAATAAAATCTATCAACTTTCAACTGCCATTAAAGAGTACAAAATTGTCAAGGCCCTTCCCGTGGATATAACCAAAGTTGGTACCACCACACACACTGTGAACAATCAACCATTTGTTGTGGAGGTTATCGACTCGGTTGCCAATTATGTTAATCATATGAAGGAGATTTTCGATTTTGCCAAATTGCGGGATTATGTTAGCGGCAAAACGTCGGGTAAACCACTAAAAATGCGTATTGACTCCTTGAATGGTGTCACTGGATCGTATGTTAGAGAAATCTTCTTGAATTGTTTGGGTGCCAGTGAACAGAGTGTTGTGCACACAACTCCCTTGCCAGATTTTGGTGGTTTGCATCCAGATCCAAATCTGACATATGCCAAGGATTTGGTAGATGCTGTGGCAAATGGTGATTATGATATTGGAGCTGCTTTTGATGGTGATGGTGTAGGAAAATTAATTTGTAAAAGAAATAATTTTATAGAAAATGAAAAATCTTTTTTTTTCTTTTGTTATTTTGAAGGATCGTAACATGATCATTGGTCATAAGGCATTCTTTGTTACACCCAGTGATTCGTTGGCTGTCATTGCCCACTATTTGGAGTGCATACCATATTTCCAAAAGAACGGTGTACAAGGTTTTGCCAGAAGTATGCCAACGGCCTCCGCTGTAGATTTGGTTGGCAAAAAGCTGGGCAAAGAAGTATTCGAGGTACCAACAGGCTGGAAATATTTTGGCAATTTAATGGATGCCGGTCGACTGTGTTTGTGTGGTGAAGAAAGTTTCGGCACTGGCTCAAATCATATCCGTGAGAAGGATGGCATTTGGGCTGTTTTGGCTTGGCTATCCATCATGCAACACACCGGCAAGGGTATTGAAGATATTTTGAAAAATCACTGGTCAATTTATGGCCGTAATTATTTCACCCGTTACGATTATGAGGAATGTGAATTGGACCCATGTAACGAAATGATTGCAACCATGGAGAAGACCATTACCGATCCCTCATTTGTGGGTAAGGAGTTCTCCAGTGGTGGTAAGAGCTATAAGGTTAAGGTTGCCGACAACTTCTCCTACACTGATCCGGTGGACAAGTCCGTGGCCACCAAACAGGGATTGCGTATTGTGTTTGAAGATGGCAGTCGCATTGTTATGCGTTTGAGTGGCACCGGTAGCAGTGGAGCTACTGTGAGGTAGGTTTGATAAAAATTGTTGTTTGAGTTGAATTTTTAAATGAACATTTTTTTTAGATTATACATCGATTCCTATGAAAAGGACAATGTTTTGGGTCAAGCCAGTGTTATGCTGAAACCTTTAATTGACATTGCTTTAGAAATATCACAATTGCCAAAGTTCACCGGCCGCAATGCCCCCACCGTTATTACATAAATTTCATTACATTGGAAATCTAAAAACTACCTCATATTTAATAGAGGTATATGTTGATTATTTTTCTTTTGAATTTAAACCATTATCCCATTATTTTGTTGTAAATTTAATTTTATTGTTGTAATGCATTTGTTTTGGTAGATTATTAAAAATAAAGAAAAAAACAATATATTTAATAAATATATATAAAAATTTTTGAAACAAACAAAATGGTATATTTAATTTTTAACACTTAAACCTAAATATTCATATTGATTTAAGATGATCACAGGTAAACGTTCAGTCAATACGGAACGTGGTAGATGTGACAAACGTACAAATATTTCCAAAAAATGTAAAGTTGTTATTGCCTCCGGACACAATTCATGTTTGGCACTAAAAAACGAATACGAACGCCCATTAATGTCAGTAAAGTTCCCAGCAACTGTTTTTGTGACTTACCTCAAATTTGTTTCCACCAATACTGCAACAAATTGACATAGATATGTAATAAACATGATTTTCACATCCTTATGGAATTGTTGTAAAATTGTTAGCAAACCAATTAGCAGTGGCACCCCATCCATTGCATCTTTTTGGATTTTTGGTACAAGTCCTTGGATTTGCATTGAAAATTGCAAACGATTTGTAACATTGTGTATGACAAATAAAAAGAAAAACAATGCAATATTATGGGAGTTTTTGCATAATACAAATACTTCCTCCAGTGGTTCATAGGATCCGGTGTACATTAGATAATCTTTTAGTTCGACTAAAAGTGTGTTGTCTTTGAATTTTTGTTGCATTTCTTTATTTTCCAATTCGTTTAGCAGGGACCTAGAAATATTCAGAATTTAATATAATGAAAAACGAGGTATTTTTAATATTCTTTTCATCTGTACTCACCTATTAAATGTCTCCAAGGCCGACTCCAAATTCTTTGCATTCACTTTACTTTTACTTTTCAATTCGAATGCCAATTGTTTGCGCAATATTTGTTTGTGGCCCAAATCCAATATCCAATCAATCATTGTGGGCCATACTTTTAGCCATCTCTGATGGTAGGCAGCATAATATTTTAGGGGATTTGTTGTGTATGCTGTGGGAAATTGTTTCGATTCCAATTCATGGGTCAGCTGGGCCAATGTCGACGACCACATTTGATCATTTTCAATGTTATGCTGTAATTTGTCGATATTCTTTTTAAGATCGGCAACAAACATATAGGTATACAAACGATCGAGACCCACCAAACCTGCCGGCCCAATGGCTTCACGCATTTTACAAAAGAACCGCGAATCCAAGACTTCTTTATGCGGGGATTTCTTATCATACCATGTGGCTTTCAATTCAATGTAGACGGTATTACGTGGATCGGTTGCCAGAAGAATTTCATTGGCCAGACGCCCTATGAAGTTATTCGATTTTGTTGTATCACCCTGTAATGGTGGAAATGTTGGTATTGGTATTGTACTGGACTGATATTTCGATTGCCAGTCTTGAACTTTATTGCGCAGAAAGGCATTACATTCTCTTTCGACATTATAGTTGATGACGCGTGTCAATTCCTGTTGTAATATTTTCAAGCCATGCACATTTAAATAGTCTTGTATATATTCAAATGATCTGCGATAACCATCCATGGTTTTGGCCAATTGCTCCAATTTCGTTTCCAATTCCATTGTGGGAGAAGAATTCTTTTGTTTGCCACCACCACCACTTGGTGTAAATATTAGGCCCACATTTAAGGCATTTGCCAAATGTTTTACCAATTCTTTGCGTATGCCATCTTCGAGTAGCTGTTTGGGGTCCAATTCAATAACACCAACTAATGTCTTCTTCATCATGAGTATACCTTCGGTGAATACCGATATGGAATGTGTCAGTTTTGCCACAGTGTAACGATCCTCAAATTGGGCATATTCCTTTAATTTGTCCTTTTCCAAACGCGTGGGCAGTTCCTTAAGGACATCCGTTTGCAGTTGTATGATGCGTGCCATTAAATTAAACATTGTTTCGGGTATAATTTGCAATACTTTTCGCATATAATTGGCCAACTCGGTGCTATAGTAATTCGAAACTGATACCAAATCTTCAGATTTTGCTTGATTAATACGCATCAAAGGTATTTCCAAAGCACTGGCCAATTTTAAAAATGTTGCCCTAAGGCGTATTACCGACTTGGGTTGTTTCTTAATGGCATCTTGCATGATGGCCGTGAAATCACGATCTATTAAATGCCAGGCATAGCTGAGATCGCTAATCAGTTGTATGTTGATGAGTATGTCTTCCTTAACATTTATTATCTTAAATAAAAATATTTCATTAAAAACACAGACAATTTGATAGGTGTTTGTGTGTGTACTTACCTGAATCATTCTTGTTAAATATTCCCTGGTTTCCATTAGATACTGCTTAACCTGCATGCTCGATTGCAGATTGTGAAATTCTTGCACCTCCTCCAATGCCTGAATCAATTGGATTAGTGTGCGTCCCGATATATTAACATTAGCCGATTCTAGATTTTCAATTTCCTTGGCAATATCATCAAACCACAATTTCAACTGTGGATTACTTTCGATTTTCGAAAGCGGACGTGACCCAGAAAATGCTTCTGCCAGTTCCTTTACACGATCCAAAGCTTCCTTTTTAAAATCATCCCATCGACTGGACTTTTCTTGCATTAGACAACGTAATATCTCCTTAACTTCCAATTCCAATTGAGAACAATTAAGCAACAGCCTAAATAAATCCATTTCATTATAACCCAATTCGGAGCGTACCAATTTTATGATTTGTTCCATTCTTTGTGTAACTGTGCCCCTGGAAATTTCATAAATTGTCTTGGAGGCATGTGTAAAATACCACCGAAGCAACACATTACACTGCCGTATAAGATTTATGATCTTCGAGATATTTTGCAAAACAAAAAAGTCCGTCAGTATGCCATCACGTAGGATTTCCTGCGATTGCTTTAAGACCTTTTCCATTTTCTCTTTGCGCAGTAAACAAAAACCCTTTATGGCTGTTGTCTCAACAATGGACAGAGCAGCCTTGGCTGCTTTAAATTGATCCCAAGCATCCACTAAATTAACAGTTATACCCATATAAATGGATACCACCCAATTGTCCGAGAAGAACTTATCGACAATTTCACGCATTTGTGCCACTTGCGAATGGAGTATTTTTGGTGAAAAATATAAACAAACATACAGCATGGCGGCTTGTGTTGACAGTGCGGTTGAACGATGATCAGGATGTGGAAAGATGCTCAATTGATTATAAATGTCATCACAACGCAATCGTCCAATTACCATATCAATAAAATTCTCATCAAATTTAAAGCGAGCAAAATAGGATTCCGGATAATTTGCAATAACATCTTTGGTGGATTTATTACTGTTGGGATTTTGGGATTTCGGTGAAATGTAACCGGTCGAACGTAGTAACATACATACATCATCAATATTACTATCACTGTGTGATTTTGAGCCACTATAACGATAATAGGATATTAGAAGACGTTCTCTCACCACACCCGGAATATGGAAATCGACAATAAGGAGGATGACACCAAAAATATACAGAGCCTCACACTATTTGGGTAAAAAATAAATCCTCAATGTTATATATATGAAAAATAACCAACTACTCACCATCAATTGCTTGCCCTCTTCATCCTGCAATACCGTTTCCAATGTTTGTTGAATATAATAACAACGATTCAATTCATCGATAAATTGTTGCAAATCTTTGGCATATTGATGTGTACTTTCGAAGGCCAAATAGAAACGTGTTAAAATTTCCAAATAATTTTCACGTATTTCTTCATCTAAATCTTGCAGAACGGGATCCTGTTCGATTTTCAAGTCTTGAGCTTCGGCAATTTTCAAATAACTAAAATCCATAATAACTTCAGCATATTTTTGTTGATCGGCTTTAGATTCTAGTCTGTTGGTTTTTAAAGAGTTTTTTAATGAAGAGATAAGAAAACAGATGTAGTTATTATACTTTAGAGTCTTCATAATGTAAAATCCTGTCTCTACCAAAAATATAGAAATTTAAGAAGAACCCTAAAAAGTTAATATAGATAATTTTTGGTAGGAAAGCAGAGACAATATTTTTTCCCAATGAGAATTTGGAGTTGCATACATCCGAAAGTATGGAAAAAACACTTAAACCTAAATTTCGTGACAATTATGAAAAAAATCGCGATCGGGCCCTACGCACTAATTCTTAATAACTATATGGTTTAAAAATCAAATAACAAAAGCATTCAACTCACCTAAAAATGTCTGGAATGTAATCTTTTAATCGAAGCACTTCGGCAATTATGGAATTGCCCATGGAAACAATCGCCAGTAAATTTTGTCCACATGCATTGTTTTCGGCCAAGAATTCTGTCATTTTGGGCGGATTGCAGGGATACGGAAAACTAAATTAATACGTTAATCTATTTTTTTTTTTTTCTTTCTTTTGAAGATCAACTATGTTTTTAAGGCAAATATAAACAAAAAAATTAAAAATTATTTTGTTGTTGTCTGGGCACTGCGGTATTTAAACTGATAATCAGCTGTTGGAGTGGAGATTACAGCTGTTGGATTTGGTGGTTTCTTGAATTATGAAGTACAGCGAGTGGCAAAATGATGCACTATAGGTAATTTGACCTGCTATTGAGAAAATAATTTAAGTACGAGAAAAGGGGGATTGGCATGTTAAGTTGGCTTTTTTTATTGTATACCATGTATAATAATAGAAGGTAACAGCAAGTGTTGTTGTACAACAAACGATGCAACAACTACATGGAAATTTTATTGTTGTAAGTTATACTAGTGTCAACGTCATTTGACAGAAAAATGTAATGCCATCAGTGTGACCAGATCAAAAAAAAAGTTGCAGCTAAATCCTCATTGGAAAAATGCTAAATAATGCTAAAAAAATATAAAAAAATGCCAAAAAATAATGCTAAATTTAGAAACTTTTTTTGGTAAGAAGATCACTTTATAGCATTTATTTAACTGTGGAAATATATTTCTTTAGAATAAAACTATGTAATATAGAAATTGAACCATTTATTGTTGAGCCATGGGAAATAACAATAAAAAGCCAGTAAGGAAAGTAGTAAAGTCGGGACCGACTATATGATACCCTTCACCACTTTGAGTATATTCAACAGATGACGTCGCATTTTTAAAGGACTAGTAAAATGAAATTAGATCCATAAACATGTCATTCTGCAATCGATACAACATTTTTCATTTGGTCAGATATAGAAGCTATATCTAAATCTGAACCGATTTCAGGAAACTTAACACACATCATTCTAGACCTAATTCATATCTAAATCTGAACCTATTTTCAGGAAACTTAACACACATCATTCTAGGCCTAATTCATTACGCTGTGCCAAATTTCGTGTAAATTGAAAGTTATATGGCACTTTGGTGCACCATTTAAATTTAATAGGACGAAAATATATATGAGAGCTATATCTAAATCTGAACCGATTTACAGGAAATTTAACACACATCATTCTAGGCCTAATTCATTACGCTGTGCCAAATTTCGTGCAAGTCGAAAGATATATAGGAACTTTGGTGCACTGATTTTCCAATTTCAAAAGGGTTCGTCCTTGGGCCAAATAAGTGACTTGTGCCAAATTTCATCCAAATCGGATCAAAAATTCGACCTGCACTTTGTCCGCAAAAATACATGAACGGACGTACAAACGGAGATGCGTAAATTTAATTTAATAAATTTAGATATAGCTCCCATATATAGTTTCGTCCGATTTAAGGTAAATGGTGCACCAAAGTCCCTATATATCATTCGATTTGCATGAAATTTGGCATAAAATGCTGAATTAAGTCTAGAATGATGTGTGCTAAGTTTCGCGAAAATCGGCCCAGATTTAGATATAGCTCCCGTATATATTTTTGTCCGATTTAAGGTAAATGGGGCACCAAAGTCCCAATATAACTTTCGATTTGCACGAAATTTGGCATAAAGTACTGAATTAGGTCTAAAATGATGTGTGTTAAGTTTCATGAAAATCGGTTCAGATTTAGATATAGCTGAAATATATATTTTCGTCCGATTTAATGTAAATTGTGCACTAAAGACCCAAAGATTGGCCGACCCGCACACAATTTTGTACAATGTACTGAAGTTACTATAACTTTGTGTGTGTGAAGTTTTCTTGAAATTGGTTCAGATTTACATATAGCTCCTATATCTACTTTCGTCCGATTTTAAGTTAATGGTGTACTAAAGACCCATAGCTATGCCGATTGGCAAAACGTACTGAAATTAGTATAAATTCATGTTGATTGTAAGCCAAATAATCAATGGGTGCTTGATTCATATTGCATTTTAAACAGTGAAGCATACCAAATAGCGTGCGTAAAGTTTGTTTAAAATCTATTTAAAAAGTATGAAATAGATTGCAGAATGGCATTTGTGAGGATTGATGTTAGTCGGTATACTTATAGATAAAGATTGCAATTTTAAGTACGTTCAATTTCATGTCAATGTTCCTTCGAAAAGACGACATATGTAAAGATACATATGTATAATATCCCCAAAGTGGTGAAGGGTATCATATAGTCGGCCCAGTCCGGCTTTACTACTTTCCTTACTGTTTTTTTTTTATATATACAGATGAATATCACAAGAATATACGTTAACACACTTTTTGCTTTTACATGCTTCTTCACATTTGTATTCTTTAATTTTGTTTTGACTACCAAACTCAATGAATGCAAGCAAACAGCTGATTGATATTTTAAATAATTGCCATCGTTAAAGAGTTGTCATGAAGAAAAACGCTGATGTTCTATTGAACAGCTGATCATAATTGGTAAATGGTTACCATTTTTAAAGGATTGTCATTGTTACATCATAATTGTATAACCATATCAAATTATGTAGTAAGAAAAATACCAAAATATTTAAAAATGTTGTGTGTAGAATAATGCTAAAAAATGCTAAATAAGTAATTGCAAAATGCTAAAAAAATGCTAAATGAAAATTTTGCGGCTAAATACAAAAATAAAATGCTAAATCTAGCTGCAAAAATGCTAAAATGGCCACACTGAATGCCATATACAGACGAGCGTTGTTCGCTCTCTCATTCGTTGTTCGACCCTTAATTATGAAGTAATTACTTAGTTCCGCATACAAAATTGTCTGAGCGAACACCGACTTTTGTACGTTGTTCAATTCGAATCATTCTCTGAATAACCAAGATATATGTCCCATCCCTAACAATTGAGAGCATTTATCGAAAATAAATTAATTTTGACAGCTTGAAAATATTTATAAAATTTTCAAACTTTTTCAGTAAAATTGAAAATGATGAATGAAAAGTAAAAAATTGTCTAGTTTTTATATATGCAGCAGGATGTAAATTTTGTTATCTACATAATGCAATATGAATTTCTTTCCCCTTGGTTCTAATTAGCGTACAAAACAAGAAACAAATGTGGGGAAACTCAAACAAAAAATTCTCCAAATTTTTATATGTGCCATTTGAATTTAGAAAATATAAAAATGTATGAAAACAACAAAATTTTCAGAAAAAATGGAAAACATGAATTAAAAGTATGGTCTGTTACCGTACTGCAAGAATCTACTACTTTTTACGATAACACATTTTTCCTTTATGATATCGAACATAATAGTAAAAACTAGTAGATTCTTGCAGTATGGGAACAGACCAGTAAATAGATATGGTTTCATACTATATTCAGGAGAAAGAGACTTAATTTTTCTATTTAGATCCATATATAATTCAAGCAAATATGTTACAATTTTAGTGTAGAACAAGAAACAAAAAGTTTGAAATAAAAAACTCTGAAGACATGAATTAAGAATAGCGTTGTATGAACGGGTTAATCCATGTACGTAATTATGAGAGCTAACTACGTTGTTCGAATGCCCGTCAGAACATGGCATAAACATACAAACTAATTATCAACAAATTGTATTTATTTTGAAAATGAAATATTTTCGAATCCTCAAAATAAAATTGAAAAACATGAATGAAAATCTATAAAATGTATATTTCTATCGCTTCCACATATTTCCTATAATTGAGCCGTTGCCACTTATATGTGTAACACATATGAAAATGCTGGGAATTGCGAGTTATTCCATGAAAAAAGATTTGCTTCCTCAGACTTTCCCAAATGCAGATTGAGTATATTGAATACGGGAGGACATTTAATAAAGAACAATTTCGAATTGTATGCGTCCCCAATTTTCCTTTTGGATGATTTTTAAAAACATAATTTGTCAAATTCATATTGACACTAGTATTGCGTTGGAATCAAATCAGCTGGGTTTTGCTGTTACCTTTTATAATTGTACCATGGACTTATCCGTAAAAAGCACAATTTTTTCAAAAGTTATAGTCCTTATTATGGGACTTAAAAAAAAGAATCCCTATATCCAATCCTTTTTAATGACGATAATATCGGGTTTTATGACAAAATTCCGACTTTTAAATCCAATTCGGTGTAGTTTTGCACTATTTGAGATGTGAGACGAATTTCAAAGTCAGTCGAACGTCACACCCAACATTTTAGTTTAAATTGTGGTCGGAATTTGTTCATCATCGACCATGATGTTCAGCTAGTCTATGCTGCCATGTAAGATTTCCCACATTGCGCATTTGCTGCAATAGATCGATTTTGCAGAAAATGAGTTTTAACACGTTGTAATTCATAAAACAGTTGCGTCATTATAGCCGTCAATTCATACATATTCCTTTTGTGACATGAATATTTTTCAGCATTTAAATGTGCATTTACCAGCGTACAAGTAGAAGCCTAGTGTCATGTTTTCGAATTTCACTTGTTTCTACTATCCGTCAACGTGTTAAGTTTTCAAGGAACAGATGAATTTATACAGCTTCCCAATCAAAGTGTCGAAGAGATATTCATCTGAATTTTTTACACAACATGAAATCTGAACAATTTTGCATATTTAACTCAAAAATAACGAATTTTGATTTATGCCGGCCTTGCAGCAAATGAACGATATGTCATCCATAGTGGAAACCGACGCCGTCCTGTATTTGCGGAATTTCAGAAAAAGGTTCAACACTTCCTATTTTTCATTCTACGGGTATTCTCTTTCAAACAAGGCCGGAGATTGGTCCTCTTTGTATCCTGCAACGTTTTTATGGAACATCAATCTTCTGCATATATTTGTGGCTATGGTGTGGGCTATCAACCCTTATTGCCCACCACTATTATTTATTTACACTTGCTTCTTCTTCTTGTTCAATACAATGACTGTTTTGTTTACTTGCAGTTATCACACCCCTTGATCCGGGCCGATCTAACTTCCATCATAATCTGAAGAACTCTGATAACATATTAAGATTAAAATGGACTTTGTTTTATAAACTTCTCATTGGAAATACAAGTTAATTTCTCGCTGGCGACTATTAACAGCATATTTAGTAAACCTTAAACATTGTATCAGCTGTTGCACGGGGCTAGCTAATTTTTCACAAACATGTACAACGATTACCAGCAACTTTTAGTTAAAAAAGAAGAAAAAATTCTTGTAATAAAATTTAATAATCCCAAAAAGAAAAATTGTGTCAATCAACAAGCCTATAAGGAAATTGGCCGTGTGCTACGCGAGGTGGCCAAAGATGATTCCGTAACTGTTGTGGTGTTTACCGGTGTCGGTGATTTCTATACAGCTGGGAATGATTTGTCGGCAGCTGGGAACATTAGTGACATGGATGCCTACATAAAGGAGGCAAATGTAAACTTCAAAAATATGGTACACTCCTTCATTGACTGTCCCAAGATCATCGTTTCATTGGTAAATGGTCCATGTATTGGCATTGGTACAACATTGGCTGGTCTGTCGGATTTGTTGTGGTGTTCGGAAACGGTGAGTAGGAAAAATAAATGTGTGTAAATTGCCACTTCATTATTGTCACTTTTACAGGCCTACTTTACATGTCCATTCGTAAAATTGGGTATTGTGCCGGAAGCTGGTTCTTCATACCTCTTCCCATTCCTTGTTGGACGTTCGAAGGCCACAGAAATGATTTTGTTTGGTGAAAAACTGACGGCCGAAGAAGCCTATCAATATAAATTTGCATCGCGTATTTATAAACCATCTGAAGTTGATACTGTAATCTGGCCAAAATTACGTGAATATTCAGAATTGCCACCCGAATCTTTGCAAATCTCTAAACGTTTGATGCGCACGCAAGAAAAGGAAAATCTAATCAAAGCCATTGATACTGAATGTGATGAGTTATACAAACGTTTTTATAGCGAAGAATTTATGAATGCTATTATACAATTTTCTATGCGTAAATCAAAATTGTAAAGAGTTCTATTGCATTTTTATTGACGACAAGCAATTGCTGAACTTTTGTATTTATTTAATAAAAATTATATGTATTTTATTACATGTTTATACATTTTACATAAATAAAAAGTAAAGGTGCAGAATATTCATTTAATATATAACTTGGGAACAAATGCACTTTAAGGTAATTTTGAAGTTTTAAACATAGGTAACACTTCTTATGCTGATTACCACAACAAACATTTTTTTCTTACTCCCGGAATTATAGGACATCAAAATTTAAATTGATACCGGGATTTAAGACTTTATTATATGGACAGACGGAAAATTGAGTTATGCGAGCAGGATTTTCTTTTAAGATTTTATCCTATGAACGGGGGAAAATTGGGCTATACGAGCAGGATTTTCTTTATATTTAGTATCAGTATCAAAATGACTATTTGAAGTAAAAATTTTATGTTGTTGTAATCAGCATAAGATGAGCTACCTATGGTTAAAATTTCAAAATGATCTGAGAGGTGTCCGTAAAGTGCATTTAAGCCTAATGCTCGCCTATATATCGCAAAATAAGGATCAACACATAAAATATGTATATCAAAAACAAAATAAATTGATGTAATCAACATTATATCTGTACCAGAAGCAGGAAATTATTCAAATTGTTCCATTTTCTTCAGGTCGTCAGATCCAAATGTACCTGCAACCAACCAATACTATCATGGTATAATTTTGAGCAGGTTCTGGTCTTTTCCCGTACTGCGAGAATATATTTGTACTATTATTCCCAAATCATTGGTATGTTCCCGTACTGCAAGAATCTATTTTTTTTACTCCAATAACACTTTTTTCCTTTATGATATCGAAGAAAATAGTAAAATCGAGTAGATTCTTGCAGTACGGGAACAGACCACATATGATAGGTTTCGACAATTTTTATGAACTTATCCTATGCACAAGTCTCTTAATTCTTCAACAATAATAATTAACTATTAATAAAATAAAATTAAGTATTATATTTAAAAGAAAAAATATCTTGCGTTAATTGTTATAAAGGTATTTATGGATTTTTTCTAATAATAATTTATATATGTTATGTGAATCGCCATATTTTTGGTTTGGTTCATTAATGGTTTGCTACAATTGTAATCAAAAACATCTGACATATTATCTTATCCAATAGCTTTTGCTTGGGGTCTGATAATCTTCTGGTGAATTTTATTCATCTTATCGATAATAAACGCATTGATATGTATATAAGGCTGGGAACAATTTGAAATTTTAATTTTTCTTAAAAAAAATTATATTAACTACTACTATTCAATTTAAGGAGTGAAATTACCGTAAAAGAAAACCCGTTAGAATTTAAATATGGCGTGGATTCTTGTGGTCAATCGTCTTGCTATCATAGGGTGATCTATGGCCAGATTTGAAACCATATTTTTACTTGATATGTTACATATTTATTTCAGTATAAAGAAATTGGTCTATTCCCATACTGCAAGAATCTACTAGATTTTACTATTTTCTTCGATATCACAAAGGAAAATTCGTTATCGTAGTGAAAAGTAGTTGATTCTTCCAGTACGGGAACAGACCAAATTTAAATTTTAGCACTCTTACATTGGGTTCATTTTTGGGCATAATTACATTAAAATATTGAAAAAATCTAAAAGAATTTGTCGGAACTATGAATCCAATTAACCGAAGCAAATCAGGATAGTCTATATATCCACAAACCAATTTAAAAAGGATCGAAAGAAATTAAAAATTTTTAATTTTTCGTTGTGCGACGCACACATGTTTGACGTCTGTGGCCTAGTGTGTGGATATTTTCTCATTTGTTGAGAAATTTCGTGGAGTGCGGATCAGCGGACAAATGCAATACATTGGTATTTGGAAGATTTTTTTAATGTTTTTACACGTATTCTACTGTGTGGCAAATAAAATTTTTTTCCCGGAATAAAATAAAAGTATTTAATATATGAAATAAAAATATTTCGTCTTTTTTCCGTCATCACTATCGCGGTCCATCTTCACGCTTCAAAAATAAATATGAAATGAAGTTTAATGGATCCGTTTGACGTGTGTGGGCTAATTTTGTTTTTTTAATTTTTTGCTTCACACCATTACGAACGCACATGTTTGAGGTGTGTGGCCCACTTTTTAAACAGACAACTGTTCCCGTACTGCAAGAATCTACTACTTTTTAGGTAGTAGGTTTTTGTTAGCATGGCCCAATAATAAGGTCGTCAATTAAGGTCAGATGATTTCACCCGAGCTGTCAAAATCCCTTTAATTTTGACTTACCGGTATGACAACGTAAACAAATACATTGACAGTACCAAAACTGCCAATCTTCTTCTTCCGACATATGTTACCATATGTCAATTCCACCAAAATTGGGATGGAATTCAAAAATGCCAATAATATTCGCTTCTTACATGAGCTGTTTAATGGGCCTTGCTTGTTACCATAAGCATCAGCCATTTTTATTTTATTTTGCTCGCATTTGACAAATATTTGTTATCAACTTTTTGTACAAAAGATCAAAATATTTACAATTTGTTTATATTTGGCAAATAGCTACCTTGATGAATGTATTATGGTGAATTTAAAACTATCGAATACCGCATTTCGATATCAACATGAAACTCGACTTCAATTTTCCGGTTTTTGGCCACTGAATAGCGATTAATCGATTAGTCGAAAATCGACTTACGTATCCCTACTCGGTTCTCGATGTCGGTCGCAACGTGAAAATTGAATTATTTCCGCATAATTCTTATGAAAATTTTACAAAAGAAGAATACGAATTAACTGGAATTTACAAGAACACAATACGACCAATTATTGATGTGGAATCTGCATGTTCTAAACCAAGGGTTCAAGCAAATGTTAGGTTGTGTTTTTCCTTAACGAAAAAGGCCCGAAACGTAGCCAAAAGCTAGAAGAAAAATTGCAACAAACAAAACAAGCAAGAATTTTGAATATTTACACGAATTCCTTTGCATGGGACTGCGTGTAAAGTGCGTGTGTGTGTGTTTGGAATAGTAGAATAGCATCGTCCAGCCAGTAGTGGGTTATCGGTATTGACAGCGGTTCCAATTACTCCAAAAGGAATTGTCTTCCGATTCGTTTCTCATTTTTTTCTTTTTGTTGGGCTTGCATGTGTGTGTTTGTGTGCCGTTTAAATAAATCACATTAGCGCGGTGCGGTGCGGTGTATGGTGGCTTGAAGAAAAACAGAGGAAATATTTTTGCTGATACCACCGCTTGCTTGCTTGCTTACACACACGCTGACACAAAAGAAAGTTGACCAACCAACCGAAAAACAGCCGGGGCCAGTGGGACAACTATCCATCCATCTTTCGTCGAGTGCAGAAACAGAGATCGTGTATAGAAGGGTATCTGTAACACAGCCGCAAAGAAGAAGAAGAAGAAGACACAGCCTAAAAAAGGAACAACAACAGAAAATTAACCTATGACATGTTTTTAGATCGTATTCTGAAAACGGAAACAGCCAATAGGTAAGAAGAAGTAATTTATTTCACTTAGAGAAAAGTGATGATGACACGCAATTTTTTGCCATTCTTTCTTGTTTTTATTGAAGCGATTGTATTATGTTACCGCAATACTGCTAGCGGGTAGTCCCCCGTTTTAACCCACTTGCAAATACATTAGAGTATTCAACTAGTTGCTTCCGATTTTGTGTCTGATGATTGGGTTGTCCTTTTCGGCTAGAAAACATGTGTAAGAGAATACTTCAATAGACGTGTTCTAGCCGGTATTTGTGTTTATCCACATTAGTTGTTGTTATTGTCGTGGATGGTGATGTTCCTTGCCCCATTACGGGCAATTATTTTATTTTGCTGGTTTTGCACTAAATGTGTCATCGATTTTGAGAAATTCTTAACAACTGGTGGTGTTTTATTTATATACATACATGTATATATATATACATATTTAAACGCACATATGTGTGTACATATGTACACTTGTTTTTTTTTTTAATATTTTCGATATATTGTTCTCTAGTGTATTTGCTTAGTTTAATTTACCAAAACACCGGAATGCAGAACTAATTTATGTTCTATTTTCATTACAAATAATGGATCTGTTGCAGAACCTACAAGAATGTACAACTTCTTTAGTACGATAGCAATTTATGATTTCGGAAAAATTGTAAAAATTAGTAAATTCTTGAAGTACAGGAATTTGAAAAAATTGTAAATTTTATTTTTTTGTGTACCATTATGATACGGTTGATGTTCTCATTGTAGCTATATTTTTTTCAAAGAAGTTTATGCTTTCCGAGAAAATTGAATTATACTAAGGTGACCATACATCCTCTTTTTTTTTGAGGACAATAATCTGTTTTAACTGTCCTCTCCTCTGTCAAATTTATGTCCTCTATCTGTCATCTATTTATATAATCAGTCATCTTTGTCATCTACATTTTTAAAACCCTGATCAGTATTAATTTTTGTAAATTAAAACAAATTAATAAATTGTATGAAATTTCAGTGAAATAATTAGAAAATGTATTTTCGGTATTTTCAGGATTTTTAGACATATTTTCCAATCGAATTATGTGTTATTTAATATTTCGAGTTCTATTTGAGTAACAAATTTCCATCAAATATTATTAATTATTAAATTTTGGTATTTTTAGACTTCCTGGACACGCTTTGCAACCAAATTGGCTGTAATTTGATTTTTTGGGTTCTATGTTTCTAGGTCCACCAGTATAAAACCCGACTTTTCATTTTTTTAATTTTTTATAAACTTTGCTTCAAAGGGAAATGTACTTTACTATTCCTTGTGGCCTATGGATTGCAAAATGTCCTTGGAAAACATAGTCGACATAGGTCTACGTATTTGTTATGTTCCTTATATAAAGATCACAAGATTATTCGAAAAAGGACCAATAATTTGACACGGTCGTAATTAACGATTTTTTAACCCAATTCATATATTAATAAGTAAATCAAAATGTACTTTTAAAACACATACTATTTA